GTGTTTAAAGGGGGGAATATTTTTATTATATACTAATATAGTTATAACATTTCCTAAAGAAATTCGGAATAAAAATACAGAATTGTGGTCCGGGCCTAGGGCGACACATTATTTTCAGAACATTAAAACTTTAGAGCAAAAGTAATATACCAAAATTTTATTCTAAAATTCACTTCTAATTTGTTTTTTTATAGTTTTGTCTATGCTGGGAAGCTAGTTTCCAAAATCTGTATACCTTTTACCTTTTGTATCGTGATGTATGTAATTATTCATATATATATGTAGATTAGAAATCTGGTTTGTAATTATTTATTGTTTTTTCACTTTACTTTCCACGTGGAAGAAAAATAAGTATCCATTAACATTTGGTATTTATTACAAATTTAAAAGACTTTTTAGAGAAGTTATTTTGTATTAAAAATCAATCCTATTGATTCCAATCCATTATTTGCAAAAATAGAAAGAATCCAAAAACATTTATTTTTTTTAGATCGATAAAATCGACATTTTAATTCGAACAGCTGAGTTTGTAACCGAAGCAGTTGAGCTTTTTGTACTTTGCAAGAACTTTATACTTTTTTATTACACATCAACACCTCGTTGGGAGATCGAATAGTTGGTCTGCTGCACGTGTTTGAAATCCAATTTATATTTTAAATTCGAAAATTTCTGAATTACGGAGAGTCAAATTTTAACCAAATTTGATAACTGACGGTACTCTTTTTCACCGTGTCCGACTATAATTTCCGACGGATTTTGCTCTCGAACTATGAACTACTTACTATATTTAATATAACAATCTTCATGTTTGAAGTAATTGTTTATTTAACCTAAGTCAGGTGTGTCGCTCAATTTTATCATTTTGGGCACAAAGATACAGTGTTATGAGTGAAACACGTTCTCTCAATGTTATCAAGAGTTAGTTAAAATTCTCTGATATATGCGGTATAGAGTCAACCATAAGTTCGAAAAATTTGTATATTAGATCTATGGGTACTGAAGGAAGTATTTATCCGATTCAACCCATTTCTTTACACCCAGTCCTACTATTATTAGGAAAGATCTCTCTCTCTGAATTTTAATTACACATCCCACATATTGACTCATATTTTCTGTCAAAAGTCAACAATAGGTACTGGGGACCGCATCTTCATTACCTAGGGGTTTGAAAAGTTTCGGTCCGATTTTGACAATTTTTGGTGGAATACTATAACGGAACACTTCGTTCAGAATTTTATATCGTTATATTAGCAGTGTTTTATTTGATCATCATAAGCTAATAGCTAAACCATGGTCAAATAAAACGCATTTAGCTTATTTCATATTTTCGCTTAAAAACGAAGTGTGTTGGGAATGAAGCGGGAACAGTTAATTGATATTCAATTTGTTTCAAAATGTCTGATGTGGAGAAAAGGCTAGTTTGAATTCTTCAATTTGTAAACGGTATATTAAATTACTAAATAAATATATTTATTTTGTTCATTTGAAGATATTAACACAAAAAATATGACAAATGTTCAGATTTGTTTTAATTTTAACTTTAACAAACCACAAAATTTTGTATTTTTGATTCGGTTACATTTTCATCTGTCAAATAAACTGTACTGTTATTGCCAACTACTTTTTTTTTGGAAAAATCATAGCTATTGTGAAGGAAAAAGGCGATGAACCTTATGACAAGCCAACCTAATTATGTTTACTAAGTCTTCCATACAAAATAAGCTAATAGCTTAATGTGCTGGTCAAATAAAACACGCCTATTAATTATTTTTTGATTTGGGCGGAGTTATCGCCCGATTACATATAGTCCCACAGTCTCATTTGGGACACATAAGAATTTGTCCTGAACCAATTTGTGTCTTAAGTGGTTTAGGAGATATGTACATTAAGCCTCTTAGAAGGTGACCATTTTTTTTTTTTTAATTTTTAGCCCACTGGTGCCCCCTTCTACTGTGAACAATTCATGGAAAATTACAGTTCTATATTTTAGTTTAATACTTAGTTAATGCAATTTATAATAAAGTATTTTAATATTTTATAGTTTTCTTAGAAAATTTCGTCTATGAACAGTACACTGTTCCATGTGTCACCTTCCGGAATAGTCATAACTTTGTTAAAATATGTATCTTTGATAACAAATCCTTCATTTCAAGTTTCAGACATTTTCTACAAAGGTAATTAAAACAATATCTTTCCACATTCAAAGGTATGACAAATTGCTTTATCATTCCTAAATGGATCACTTATAAAATCCCTATTACTTTGCAAAAATATTTTTGGTCTAGATGTTTCACGCTACCTTTACCTTGTACCGATTTCTGATATGTTCAAGTTAGATTTTTAATCTGTGAAATGCTTGTACTGAGGATCACGGAGAATTTTTGAGCACGAAAACTTGAAACCATGGAAATTTCTTAAATATAGTATTTTTGTAGGGCTGTGTAATTTGCTAATAACTCGGGAGGCGGGCATTTATAAATATACTAGTGTAAACCTGCGGCTCCGCTCTCTCTTTGATGTCAAGGATATCATTAATCTGAGATAACAGTTTAATAGAATAATTAAATTCGGAACCTACATTTTGACATCGTAAATCATACAAAAATATGTATGAAATAATAACATCTTCAAAGCCTCTGAATCTGTATCGCATATCGTTACACATACATATGTATTATATATATGCTTCTTGTTGTAGTGAATAACAGTGCAGGAGTAGAGCAGAAGAGGGCGCATATCACGCCCTATATATAATCATATGATAATGTTTTGTTTTGTCCAACATTCACCGAATGTAACTGAAAAATCGACAGCTAAAAGCTACACTTAAGAAAACACAGACTTCACCGTTCTGTGAAATGCTTCAGGAATATTTGTCAGCTATTATGCACTCATCTCAAATTATGATTCAACCTTTTCTTATTCAGTTACTACTAGCAATATAATTAATTTGTATCTAAACAAAAGCCACTGCACCCTGCCAGTAGCTGTGTGATTTTATTTTGCATTTTTGACGAATAAAATGTTCAAATGATTCTTACATGAATATTGAACACATGCTTATGTTTTGAAATATATTTTTATTTATTTATGAATTGTTGTGACTTTTAACATGAAAAAGCAGATAAAACGTAGCCTATATCCGTCTCGAGGTTAAATATTCCTCATCAGCAATTTTCGGCCAGATCGGTTCAGCTGTTTTGAGTTATAAATATAGACATAAATTGAGAAATCGAGTTTGATTTTTCAGAAAAGGTTAGCTTTTCATTTTTATATACATAAAATATAATTCAATCTGAATACCTTAAAGTCATCCCCATTATTATAAAACAGAAAGACATACTATTTTCAGCTGTAAGTGCTCTTTGAATATTGAAAAAACTATAAGTTCTATTTAATTACTAATAATATACACACGTATTTATTGTTTAAGTTGTAAGTACAAAATACAGCAGCATCGTGCTCAAGCATTAAATATTATCGATAATTACAAAATGCTTACATATAGTATGTAATATATACATATATTAAATATGTATATAAACGTGAATAGGCACCGCAAAGGGCTGAACGTGTAGGCGGTACGCAATAGCTGAATTTAACGATATAACGATAAATATTTACAAAAGTGGAACTACGATTTCCATATCGAATGAGCAAGTTACGCTCTCTGTGCGCGCCCAATTTTCACAAGACCGAAGCGATTATGTGCACAACCCAACAAATGGGAGGAAGGAATAAATTGATAAACTTAGAGTGTAGGTTAGTGGCAAGCACTAAAGCGCAGACAATAAAGCGGAGCAAAAAAGAGAAGGAAATATTATTTACGACAGCAATAAAAATGTGCGCGTTCAAAATAAAAACAGCAACAACCTAAAGGGGTTGCGTCAACCAACTGGAAAGAACAGTGCAATCGAAATATTACAGCGCCAACTAAAAGCAGTGTAAGCGAGAGCACACACACGACATTGTTGTATCGGAAAACGTGAGCATGAGCGCGCGGCACTACCCACTACTGGCATACAAGTGATCAACCGCCAGTGAACGGACGGCAATTAATGCAGGGAATGTGATTTAGGTAAGCAAGTTCGGCCACAAGCGAGTCCAGGCGGCCACCGCAGCAAAAAGAAGAAACCATGTAAAGCAAGCCTCACTAGTTTTAAAAATTGCAAGAGAGCAAGTGGCACGACAGCAGCTGAGTTGCAAGCAACTAGCTCCTTCGCACTAATGGTGCGCTCGCGCTCATTGCGGGCCGCCATTATTCTTGTGCATTGAGGTCGTGAAACCGGTGGCAGATTGCTGGAGATGGTGGTGTAGCTAAAGCAACAACAATAATAGCAAGAAAATAATAAAAAGTTGAGCAATTGTATGTGCCTGTGTTGCGGCTGGCACAGGCCTTTGTTGTTGTTCATTTGAGAGCGTGAACATACAAAACCACTCACTCAAATGGAACAGCAAATTATCTCGAACAGGTTAACGTCTATAGCGTTGTAGGTTAATTGAAGCAGTGTGCGGTGGTGTTGGCGGTGGGGTATTGAGTCGAATGAGCCGTCACAACTGGTTGAAGTGGATTTTTGGAATTTAGTGCGCCGAGTTCGGCTTTCGTGTGTGGATCGTGTCGTTGTGTGAAAAATATTCATGATTACGCTCAGTGCAGACGTGCGATGTGAAATCAAAGTTGCAATAATAATAAAAAAATAAAAGAAAAAAATAAAATAAAATGACAGTTGAAATAAAACGAGCAAAGTTGTGAATGTAGAAATTATTGCATTAAATATAAGTAAAGTGTGCATTACTTAATAAAAAAATATCAACGATATTGAAAGCTGTGAAAGTTAAAAAACAAATAATAATTAATTAAAAGAATTAAAATAAATACATTATTAAAAATGAATAACTATATTTAACAAAACTTCAAACGTGCATACAAATTTTATAGAAAGTAGTATAAAAAAATAAAGAAAAAGAAAAAATATTAAAAAATGTTGCTTTAGCTTGACATTTTTATTTTTCACTTAAATGCACTTGTACATATAACAGCGCACTCTGTTGTTTTTTTGTGCGCCAATGTAATAATTTAAATACATACAAACATCGCAACTTAGTATGCAGCTTTTTGGGTAATTCTGCAAGTATACTCCCTTAGCAAATACCTGAAATATAATAGGCATTTATATTAAAATCGTGAAAAAATTACTCTCAACACTGCATTGCTCGCTTGGTCATGTTGATTGAACCGGGTATTAATCATAAATTTGGAACATTGGCCGCCGCAAATACGAGCATACCAGCGCATTGGAAAATGGAACCACCAAGAATACCAGCCTTAGCGGGAACAGGTGGTGCGCCCACTATACCGCCACCGTGCAATAGTAAGTTTCAGAATGTATTCTTTTTTCAATTATTAAGGAAAAATAGCAGTAATTAGAAGGCTTTGTGAATAATATAAAATTTTCAGACAGGGTTTTTGCCATCGTCCTGATTTGGATAAAATTTAAATTTAGTGAGCAAAAGTTTCCAACAATGTTTGTGAAAAGTACATTTAGCTCGCCAAACAGCCGCGTCACTTATTTATGTAAGTTCATATGCCATGAAAAATACAGTTCCGATGTGTTTTGAGCTCTAAATGGCATAGTAAGAAATCACTATGGAAGATTTTTCTTGCCAAAAAATCGTTTGTGATGTTCGGCGTACGTTAGAAATAATCGGCTGGCAGTTCTGCATAAAACATGTATTCTGTAGTTTTTAGATGAAGGTACATATATTTTTTGTTCGTGTGTTTCAGTGAAACTAGATTCTAATCTGCTTAGTCATCGTCAGTTGTGTTAATATTCGTATGTAAATAGGAATTTTAAGTTGCAAAGAAATGCTTTACATAATTTTGGATGGAGGTAGACTAATTTCTTCTTTAGAATTCTCATAGTTTTCCATGGCGCTAGAAGTCATATTCGATGGATCTGAAATATTCGGTTCTACAATATCGTCCTTTATTAAGAAAATCTCATTGTCCATCTCAATAAAATCTGTGATAGTAACATTTGAAGAGATAAATACGGCGACTTTTACGTGAACAGCTATTTACCAAATGCGATTTCTCCGAAAAATGCGACTTAAAGAATCACGTACCAATTTAAATGTTCGATTTATGGAAGGAAATTTATAAGAAATTTGACTTCTATTTCGAGTTAAGGAAGTTCAACTGTAATTAAAATTTTAGTCATTCACCATTTTGATTAGAGAAGGAAGTAGTTATAATAACTACTAAGTATTTAATAACTTATTCGAAATAAATTACTAAGTTATTATTGTGAAGACTAAATATATAGTATCTTGATATTACAGAATAAAAAAAAAAAATTTCTAATGTTTGCTTCTACTTTTTTTCTCCAT